CTCTCTCTCTCTCTCTCTCTCTCTCTCTCTCTCTCTCTCTTTCTCTCTCTCTCTCTCTCTCTGTGTGTGTGTGTGTGTGTGTGTGTGTGTGTGTGCGTCGGTGTTTTCATTTTGTGCATAAGATCAGAGCCAAGAAACTCACCTCTGAGGACTTTCTGCTGACCATTCTTGACATTGCCACGTCCATCAGATCTTCGGCAAAGGGCAACAGTGACTGCGCCTTCAGGTTGTAGCCTGCAGCAACCACCATAAGGAGGCAGTGCTCTCGAACAACAGCTGCTTCACAGGTCTGGAGGATGAGAAATGACAAATATGACACTGGTCAAGTACTGACAACAAGTCTTGCATGTTGTGTTAACTACACTAGATAGAAGATTTACTAGAATGAACTTCTGGGTAATCTATAGTGATTCACTTCTAGTGTGATTCTGGAGAGAAGGGTAGTTACAGCCTTTTATGTATACGCCAAGCCCGTCACGACACATGATATGTGAGGCAGCAGATCCGTTTACCGTTGTGTGATGTTCAGCCACACGGTTTGAGTAGACAAGCATATTTTGACCCACCTACAAGGAGTGTGAGGACCAGCCCTCGGCGAGCCCCTAAAACAGCCGCTTGCTCAGAACACTCCGGGTCCCTAAGTGAGCCCTGTGGCACCGTAAAATTAGCCCCGTCCTAAGTGAAGGTCGTGCGTGCATACCGGGCAGAGGATGCACCACAGTCCATGTAACAGAACAGTAGGTCCAGCCTCTGAGTTAGTTAAATGCGGCGGGACCCAGACTCAGGCCGGAACACAGTAGGGACTGCCCACTGACATCAGACCCTGACCTCCGGACAGGACAACAGGAAGGAGTCCGTGGAGAGCGACACATTCAACAATAGGACCACGAGCGCGTACCTGGTGTTGGTCGAGGAGCACAGGTGTGAGCAGACTCTCCATCAGCATCTGGCAACAGGCTGGTGGGCAGAGAGAGTGAGACAGAGTAGACTAGGATGTGTAGGTAGAGTGGGAGAGTGGTGTAGGCAGTCACATCATAGTAGGGCTACTACATTGTTGCTGTCTTGATTGGGGAGGTGCGAAAAGGGCTTCCATTGTCACATGACTTCACTGTCCAGTGTGTTCTTAACTTGGTGTGCTCTCAGCTTCGTAATTCTGCTTTCAACTCGGCTTTGCTCATGAATGGTCTTGTGACTCTTGTGTGAACCTTTGCATCTCAAAAAAAAAAAAGTGTTTTCGTTGGACAGTTCCTTGCAGAAGAGTTCAAGTTCTTCAATTCTTTTTTTTTGTGTGGATCTTTTTTATTAACCACTTTACTTCGACTCTTCCATTTCAACTTCAATAATAATTGACAGGAACTTTTGTTTAATTTATGTTATTACTTTTTTTTTTTTGGTTCTAAATTTGGGCGATTTCTCGATCTATGTATGTGCAGGGGCCATGCTAATCTTCTCTGTATCATTCCAATTTTAATGGATGTCCCGGAGGACTGAATTTATTTGATTACCAAGTTATCTATATCTATACTCTTATTAAAGGGAATAGCAGGACTCGCGTGACGAGTTATCTATATCTATCTATACTCTTATTAAAGGGAATAGCAGGACTCGCGTGACGCTCCCGCGAGGCCAGCCTCCCAGTGTTGGGAAAACTGGCGGGGGCAAGTTGTGGGCCCAAGGGAAAGCGGGAGAAACACGCAAGAGATTTCTGCAGCGTCGTTGTCGCGCGACGCATGTTTGAATACAACTACATAGCAGCCCTCGTTGCGATGTCTTTTTTTTTCCCCCCCTTTTTCAGTAGTGGTTTGTTTCGTGAGGCGGCACATTGATGCTTCCAGATACCATCCGTGGCCTCAATCTCTGTTTGAAACGAAATCTGATGTTTTGAGTTAAGGTGGCACGTGTGGCGCGTTTCAGGTTCTTCTTTTTTGTTCCCTGCACGTGGCTTTTTGTCAGGCTGCATGCAACCGTGTCGATTTGCTCACGGCCTCGCTCCATTGTACTCACCACATGCACAAAAGACAAAAAAAGTTCCGTGGTGTATCTTGCCTTGTTCACGCCCCGAAGATTCATTCCTCACAACATTCTGGGAAGATCCCAAGCAGTTAAACAACGATTTTTTCCTTTCATCTTTGTGACTTTTACTTTTTTGTTATTTTGTAATGCATGCAACCCTGTACATGCACTTAGGGCGTTGCTCCACTACTCACCACATACACAAAAGGCAAAAAATACGTGTGAATTTGCTTAGGGCCTCGCTCAACTGGTCACCACATGCACAAAAGACAACAATATGGCGGGGTATCTTCCCACGTTCATGGGGAAGATTCATTTCTCACAATGCAACCGTACACAAGGCCTACCTCGGTCCATTTCTCACCGCATGCACTACCAGTCACCTCATGCATGAAAGACAAAAATATGGCGGTGTATCTTCCCATGTTCATGTGGAAGATCCATTTCTCACAATGCAACCGTACACAAGGCCTACCTCGGTGCATTTCTCACAAAATGCACAAAAGACCAAAAAAATGGCGGGTTTTTGGACTCCACTTTCTATGCACAAAAGTCAAAAAGGGGGAAGATCACGGAATGAACCTCTTAGTTCAACACCAATGAATGCACATAATCTCCACATGCATGTATGAGATCACAAGAGAGTCATACTGAAAAACCAGAGAGATTAAGACCAGTTAACGCAGCTTAAGAATTCCGACAAGTTAAACAAGAGCAATAAGAGTTCCGGGTCACCAGCGCACAACAGCGCATAACATAGGGATCCAAACATCCAACACGATCTCCCAGGTAAGTATCTTCTTCCTCACTGCTCTTCTCTCGCTGTTGTATCACCCCTCCTTGCTGGTCTTCTCCCTAGCTATGACCTCACTGTATCTTCTCTCCCTACATGCATGCACACTCACACTGACTTCTATCCTCAAAGATCTACTCTGAATACACCCACTGTAACTCTACTAACTCTCTGAAGACTACTACTAGATACTAACACTAACACCCTGCGCTGGCGCAGCTATGGCTGCCTTCTCTCTGCCAGCGCTATCTTCCTCTCTCTCTCCCCTTTATTGTGCAGCACTCTGGCTTCAGCGCTCTGCCCCCTCACATTAGCGCACAAGTGCACCAGCACTTTCACACTCTTTGCGAATGAGCAATCTGACCGAATGTGAGGCTGGCCAGTCCTTTTGTAGTCCTGGTTTGCACTTCAATTCGTGCCAGCCTCTGTTTCTTCGGTCCTGACTGGTTCCGGTACCACATCCCCACGGCCTGTCTGCTTCTGAATGTCAAGGCCTGAAACCTTCCCGAATTTCCATTGGACTGCTGCTGCTTGGGCCTTTGAGTCCTGACTTTTCACTTGTGAACATCACTTTTGACGTGTGGACAGTGGCTCCTTGCCTGTGGGTCACGACTTTTGCCTGTGATACTACCTTTCACTCGTGGGATGCGACTCTTCAATATGACTTTTCACTAGGAAATGTGACTCCTGCCTTTGAGACATGACCTTTGCTTAGTGAATCTGCCTTTTCACTCGTGGGATGTGACTCTTCTGAATGGCTTTTATTATGAGACGTGACTCTTGTCCCTGAGACGTGACTGTTTGCTGGGTGCCTGTTAGACCAGACTGCTGAGGTACCCGATTGTGACTTTTCTGAGTTTGACGAACTCGGCTTTTTCTTGACCTGGGCATCTGACCCTGAGGTCCAAATTTGGGGTCTGAATCGTGGAAGGCCTTTCAGCATGAAAGACAGAGATTGTTGCGGTGTATGTTCCCATGTGCTTGCAGAAGATTCGTTCTCATTTTGCACATTTTGCGAGTAGTGGATCGGAGGCCATGGCAAGCTGAAAAGGGGCAAAACCCAACAGCGTGGATGCACACAGAAACAATGAAACTGTTGAAACACAGACGTGAGTTGAAATCCGGCTGCAACCAGAATAATAATGAGTTCTGATTTACAAAGGATCCAACGGCGTGCTGATAGCTTGGCCGATGCCGCGCCAAATACTGCACATCCCTCATGTTCTACAACTAACCCCCTTGGTGTCACCCGGGCCAGATAATGACTGTGCCCAGGGCGGGCCTGGCACTGGGCTGCAGATTCGCCGCGGCGGGTTTACTTGTACTAATAGTAGTTTAGAGTCCAGGCTGTCTCGTACTGTTTACCGTTGTAAGTTTTAGGCTCAAGAAAAAAATATTTTTTATGTTGAAGAATTTGCGAGTACTTTTCCAATGCTACTTCTTAAAGCTGAAAAACGTTTCATCTCGCCCTCTTTGCAAGTCTTTATTTTTTTCTTTGCCCCCTCGAGTGTTTTGTCTTGTCGGGACACTACGTCGACCTTCTGCGAGGGCCCTCATGACATGCCAAAACTTCCAGCAGGGTAGCTGCAGGAGTGAGACGGGAGAGAGACAGTAGCACCAGCCACAGCCAGCGAGAAGTCGGTCATAGAGGGGGCTAGCCCCCAGCAGTAAGAGTGAGAGGGACAGTAGCGCCAGCCCACAAACAGTTAGCAGGGTAGTAGAGGGGGCTAGCCCCCAATATCAGGAGCAAGAGGGAGAGGCTGCAGCACCAGCTGCAGCCAGTGGGCAGTTGGTAGTATAGAGGGTCCCTCATTAGCAGATTTGGGTTGGGAAGAAAGAAACGTAGCCGCACAAGGTGGCAGGTGGATAATAGCAGTCCTGAGGTTCTGTAGTATCACATACTTCAACATAGAAGTGGATCACTGACAATGGGCCTTGCTCTACTACACAACACTCTACATGCACTTGGACGCTTTTTGGACAGAGGTGCACTCGGGTGATGAGAGTTCGTCTTACCAAGCATGGGCCTCTAACTCAGTGTCTTGATAACCTGGTTTCTGGATTTTGTCATCTTCTGGCTCCCTGATCTTTGAATCTTTGTCGAAGTTTCGTATGGTATGCAATTGTGAAGTGCCGACGGGTTGATGCATGGAGTCGAGACAGAAATAACAGACGGTGCCATCCTTTTATTAGGTCTTCTCAAATGTTCCACTTTCTCTTTTCTCTCTTTCTCTCCACTTTCTAGTGGTGCATAGAGAGCTGAGCGACCGCTCTAGTGCTCGACAACAAAAGAAGGGAGCCGACACCAGCCCTCCCCTGGGGTGGGTGGGAAATGTGAAGCGACGCCGAATGTTTCTTTCGTTTATTCTTTTTTTTTTGGATCGCTGTATACTTGCCTGTGGCATTCACATGCACAAAAGTTGACGCAGACAAGTTGAGTTTGCACCTGACGAAAACAGGTGTTGATGCAGAAAGGTCGATTTTGTACCTGTATAGAGTGAAGAAGATGCGGAACAAGTCGAGCTGCGAACATAGGCCTGCTGTTTTCTTCCGCTTTCTCACAAGCGTTCACAACCACACCAACAAACCACCTCCGAATATCCAGAGAGAAACTCTCTTCGGTTATTAAGGCCTCAGCTGTTTCTGCTGCCACACTGCACGGTGGAGATCCCTGTCTCAAGCTGGGGGTAGGCGGCGAATCGACCTGCATAGGGGGATCAACTGCCTCTGTGAGAGCGCCAGTGAATGGTGGGACTGATGATAGCCCTGTGACGTAATCGAGGATGGTCTCCAGCACCCCATTCTGCATCCCTCGCCTTTCCTCTGTTGAATCTGCTTCGAATGGTTGAACACATTTGAAAAAAAATGTTGAACGCAAAGTCAGACAGTAGGAACTTAATAGGAAGTAATCAACAGTTGAGCACTAGCTGTGCCAGCTCAGCAATTAACTGTGCAAGCTCACCAACCACAGCAAAGGTCTTCCTCCTAAATCAGGTAGCAACGACTGCAAAGTCTGCAAAAGAATCAATGAAACTTGTGCAAAATTGAAAAATAAATTCGCACCCCCTAGTCGGACTGTGCATCCACACTAGGGGTTAGGAGCTTGGGTACTGCTCCCCACACACAGCAGAGTATACTCAACCCCAAGGGGATAGGCTCAACCCATGACTCTAGACTCTAGAGGTAGCCGAGTCTTAGCCAAAAGATATGTTGGTGGGTAGTGGTAAGTAGTTCCCCATGTTATCTGGTTGCCCAATCTCCCACATGCGGTTGATGGTCCATAGGAGGCTCTAGTTCAGTTGGTCATTAATCCAGGCTGCTTCGTCGGGCTTGTGGGTAGGATATAGATATGGGTAGCTAGTGTGAGATGTATTGAGAGAAGAAAATAGGGTAGTCAAAAATACAACTGTCCCCCATATGAGGAGACAGATGCATATATAAAAAAAAAGAAAAAGAAAATTGAAGATGGTACACTGATGAACTGTTGAAATACAGACGAGAGCTCGAATCCAGATGGTTGAAGGACTTTCTGAATTACGTGGGACCGGTCAGTTCCACGATGATATCTCAAGGTCATCATCCCGCGTAAATAAACAAAAAAAAAAATAAAATGAAAATTGAATTATTGAAATTATCTGAGATGACCAGTTGGGACCTGAGGGTTAAAATCTCTGCCTAGGGTCAGGAGTCGGCTGCGACGTCCCTCAAAGGAAATACGAGTTGAAGGGCTCTGAAATAGAGTCCAGACTCAGAGTTGTGTCTCCAAGCCCGAGTCCGAGTTCTGGGGTCAAAGTTGCTGTCTAGGGACAGGAATCGTCTGCGACATCCCTCAGGTGAAATAGACTAAGGCACGGGGGCTCAGAAATATCCCCAGAGCACAGAGAAGTCACCCCAAGCCTGATGAACGTCAAAGGACCAACCCAGCTACAGTAGACCAAGAGTCACCACATGCCTGAGGAAAGTCAACGGCCCAAACCAGGTACAGTAGACCAAGAGTCACCCCAGGCCTGAGGAAAGTCGACGGCCCAATCCAGGTAGAGTAGACCAAGAGTCACCACAGGCCTGAGGAAAGTCAATGGCCCAACCCAGGTACAATAGACCAAGAGTCAAAGATTTTCCAAGAAGTCAAACTCGGCCACAGATCACATACAATCCAAGGGCTCAGCACAGTTTCGACTCTCGACAACCTTCCGCAATTGCTGGGACCAGGCACAAACAGGTCAAGGTCGTGTCAATACTACAAAAGCGTCCCTGACTCAGTTCAGGAATTCATTCTGCCTGGGCAAGCTGATGCTGGAGCTTTCCTGATGGAGGAGCCTGCCCTTTGCCAGGCTTGTAGAGATATAGGCAAGGCAGCCAAAGCTGAGAGGAGTAGGGGAGACCGCTGCCTCCATAGCTGTAGGAGAGAGACGATGAGGAGGAGGGTTGGAGGTGGGACCTGGCATGTGGGAAGAGATGCTTGCATATCTCCTTCCTGATCTTCTTTATGATCAATGACTTCTCTGTTGCTCGATGCGTGCTTCATTTCCGTTTCCAGGCTTGTTTGAGCTGACGGTTGCCTTGAGAGGTGGGAAAGTTGAGGGAGAGACATTACGGTCCAGAGTAGCGACCCAGAAGCAGTGTTGGGCATTGGTGAGGAGAGGCTTGCCGGCTTGAGAGAAGGGAGGTGATTGGAGAGGAAGGACCTGGCTGGTACGCGAGGCCTGGAGGTCAGGTAGCTACCCAACCAAACAAAGTGAGAAGAGAATGTGTCTCCTGGAGGGGGGGTATCTTGTTTGCCTTATGATGTTTCCATTATGCAACCTGACATCAGCAGCTACCAGAGAGAATGTGTCTCCTGGAGGGGGGGTATCTTGTTTGCCTTATGATGTTTCCATTATGCAACCTGACATCAGCAGCTACCAGAACTAGACGGGAGAGAGGCCTGAGGACGCGGCAGGACCACTTGGGTATGATGGTTGACCTCCCTAACATCTTCCGCCGAATACAAGTCACCCTCAATATGAATGCATCGGAATGGGATTATAGCTTGTACATACTCACGATGATGGTGCATTGCATTTCGGGGAAGATGGTGGCTGTGTTGCTTCATTGTTGGCCATAAACAAAGCGAGGAAGTTAATGCATTGCACTTCTTCATGCTTCGTCTGGAACATTTACCCTCAGTACCTTCTTCCCCGGAACACAACGCACGGTCATCATGATGCAATCAGACTCGCTTTCTTCTCCACTTTGCATACATGCAAACAGATGGCAATTCAGACTGGCGCTGTGCGCCCACACAACGCTCAGAGATGTTCAAGTCGAGAACACAGCTTGGATACAAACTCGCTTCCAACTGGCTATGGCGCATGAGCGCCCACACATCATCTGTCTGACACTGTACTCACGCACTGTTCACACTCACTCAACACCGGATCTCCCTGGATATCCCACACACACAACTCTGTACGAAGCACAAATGCACGCACCCTGAACTCTATCGCTAAGCTACAGCGGCTATGGCTGCTCTACTGCTACCGACTACGGACGAGCTATCTCTCTTCAGCCCACTTCAGCCTCGGGCATCTGCAGACCACCTCGCACAAGACACTATGGCAGCGCTTCCGCATGGCTCACGCAGGAATGAATGAATGGCTGGACGCTGCCTCTTGATTTATACTTCTGTAAGTCGCTGGTCTGCCCTTTTCCACCCTGCCCATGGTGCACACAGTCCCTCATGGTACTTGCTGACTGTACGAAGTGAGACTGGGACTGGGTACCGCTGACTAAGCAAAGTTGGACTCACCACTTGCCCACTTGCCTCTGGTCTGCTGTGTATAACGTGAGAAGCAACTTGAAAGGCCACTTCCGGACCTTCCGAAAGTTTGCGGACTTGGCCTTTCAGGACTATAGCAGCAACGACCTTGACCTTTCAGTACTGTGGCAGCTACGACTTTGACCTTTCAGAACTACAATAACTATGACCCCTATGCAGTTATGACCCCTACTTTGACAGGTCTAAGCTTCAAGACTCGACAACTACTCAGACCTACAACAGACAACTTTCAACTACTAACACACAGGTCACGGGTTCAAGACACACAGGGTCGACTTGATACTGTACACAGGAAAGGTAAGGTAAGGTGAGGTAAGGTCTGGGGATCGAGCCCTGGGATCCGCATCTGTGACTGCAAAAGGTGAAAACCGTTTCACTCCCGCCGTCCTAAATTCAAGGTCCTCCGAGAATATTTCAGTCCAAGGCTGGACCTTTTGCTTTCGTATCTCTTTCGTATGCTCGAACTACTTCGGGAGCTGTTTCTAGAAGTTCTGTTCGTGTAAACCAGCGGTCATCCTCTGGTTCCTGAAAAACGAACCTGACCTTATACTGTTTTCGTGGACGGCCCCTACCTCCTGTTCTGAAGACATCTTCACCTACGATGCCGTCAATGTCATATCTTCCGTCCATGTCCGGAGGGATCATGGGCCTCCGTGATGGAAACTGTTGACTTGTGATACAAGGCAGCAACTTTGACGCATGAAACACCGGGTAGGCGTGGAGGTGCGCTGGAATCTCTACTGTGTAGGATGGTCCATCCTCTCCGCCCTGGACTTCTAAGACTGGCCACGGTCCTCGGAATGCAGGCAGTAACTTTTGCGAGATGTTCTCCTCAGGAGCAAACTCTTTGGACTTTACCCAGGCTAAGTCGCCTACTTGAAACTGTGATGGGCGACAGTGCTTACTGGCTTGCTCTATCATTCTATGCTGGGCCTTCCTAAGGTTCTCTACTACGGTAGCAATATCTTTCTCATGCTGTATCGCAAACTCCCTAGTTCCGGGCGGTAACCTTTGAATCTGATCCCGGTTGAGTCCCTCAAATGGTCTTCGTGGTCTAAAGGACTTATGCAATTCGTTGGGAGTGCGACAAGTGGCTAAGTGCACACTGTTATTATAGGCACTGGCTACCTTTGGGAGCATCTCATCCCAGTTAACTTGGTCGGGTCTAATGTACATTCTTAGAACCTGCTGCAGGACTTTGTTCATCTGTTCAGTCTGACCGTTGGTCTCTGGATGACGGCCAGACGACATTAACAACTTAGATCCGTAAACTCTCATCGACTCCTGCCAGTTCTGACTAGTGAACCTGGTATCCCTATCACTAACTATGGAAAGCGGTAAACCATGTTCACTGACCCAATAATCGAAAAACTTTTGTATTATTAAATCTGTCCGTGCCTCTGAAGGCAAAGGAACAAACACTGCATACTTACTAAATCGATCAACTATCACCATGACTTGGCTCTTGCCATGCCTACTCCTGACCTCAACATCCATGAAATCAATGGGTACAAAGTCTTCGGGCCTATCGGGAATAGGCAAGGGTAGTCTTATTTTGTTGGCAGACTTTACAGCTGCGTACATACTCTATGCAGTCGGCCTTCATACCTGGCCATGTATACGCACGCATAAGGTTGACTAATGTCTTCTGCCAACCAAAATGTCCCTCTGTGTCATGACATTCCCCTAAGATCAGACTACGGATCTCTTCGCTGTTGGGAATGCATAAGCGGTCAGCTACGTCAGTCTTCTTGAACAGTAAGCCATATGTAGTGTGGTAATCTGGTTCAATCTCTGGAGCCTCCTTAACTCTATTGAGGAGATCGCTGTAAATAGGGTCCTGCGCATAGGCTTCCTTAACTTTCTGTTGCAGGTCTCGTCCTATATCCAAGTAGTGAACTATCGCTCCAAAGTAATCAGCTCTTCTACTCAGAGCATCCGCGACTACATTGTACTTCCCTTTGACTGGCTTGAGCTTAAAGTCGAATTGGTCTATCTCTGCGGCCCACCTAGTAAGCTTAGGTGTCATCTTGGCCTGCGTCTTCAGCCACCTCAACGTCTCGTGGTCTGAATAGACTTTAAAGTGCCTCCCAAGCAAGTAATGCTTCCAATGGTCTAAAGCTTGCCTGAGAGCGTAGAGTTCCCTCTCGTAGGTAGATGTTGCAATCTTCTCTGAAGGCATCCTAGCAGACATGAACTCTACGAGTCTATACCCATTGCCGTCATCTTGCTGTAACACAGCACCTATCCCATACGCCCCCGTTCCACCCAGATGAGTAGATCCAAAATTAACGCAACTTTACCTCTATTGCAGACACTGAAGCACACTTGAGAATCCAACAATGAAACAGTTTTACCTCTATAGCAAGTAATATGGAGCACATTAAGTCCATTGAAATCCCTTTGTCAACTATGTTTACTTTGGCTTTCTTTGGGGTACCCCTTTCATCTGTTTTCGCAGCTCCCCTTTTATTATGCCTCTCACATACAAGGCTAGCCACATTGATTGTGGTTGAGCGTCAGCTGCCCATATCCCCGTGTGGCTTAACGGCACACGTCCATGTTATAAGAGGCGGCAGAGTACAGGGGGGAGGGATACTCCTGTTCATTTTTCTTCAGATCTTCAGCTTATATTTTGTCTGTTCTCTTAATGATGCTCATTCATATACATTTACTAGAAGTACACAATGGCTAGCCACATCGATTGTGGTTGAGCGTCAGCTGCCCATATCCCCGTGTGGCTTAACGGCACACTTCCATGTTATAAGAGGAGGCAGAGTACAGGGGGGAGGGATATTCCTGTTCATTTTTCTTCAGATCTTCAGCTTATATTTTGTCTGTTCTCTTAATGATGCTCATTCATATACATTTACTAGTAGTACACAAGGTGAGGGAGGAAGGGAAGGGGTAGGAGGCAGAGTTCTATAGGGAGTGAGTGGCAGGGGAGAGAGAGAGAAGGGGTAAAGGACAGAACAGCGATACAACTAATTCACAGGGTTCTAAATACTCACCGCTGGAGCAGTCTAACTCTAGAATGGCACAAGGGGCCCATCAGTGTTTGGGTTGCAGTCTTGCAGAAGATTTGGAGTTTGAGGAGCAGATGTTGCCTATGCTAAGTGGCCACCCCTACAAACCAGACAGGACCGGTTCGGGTGAGGAATGTGGAAGCACTGCATCCGATTCTCGCAGTCGTAGTTGCTGCATGGAATGGCATGGCATAGACAGATGCCACATGCTACGCGGCTCCTACATGCTAGGAACACAGAGGCAGTGTGTGTGTGTGTGTGTGTGTGTGTGTGTGTGTGTGTGTGTGTGTGTGTGTGTGTG